GCTACACACATCCAGCTACACACATCCAGCTACACACATCCAGCAGGTGTAACAGCATCAGTGATGACAGCGTATCTTAGTTTCTCAATGATGGTTATTCCCCAAAGAGTTAGTTTCACTTTATCTTAAAGTTCCTTGGTTTAATAATAATATTTAAATAGCGTTACAGGAGGACAAGAATGCTTAGTCTGTAATTACACCTAAGTATCATGAGTCACTGGATAAATGTGGTCGTTTGTAGATGTGAGGTGTTTGTGGGAGGTTTGGCCTGTTAATGTTGCATCATTTAAAAAGAAAAAGAAAAGAAAACGTCTCCATTTGGGCACATAAAAAGCCCACATGGTCAGAGGCTACAGTGTGTGTGCAGTCATGCTAAAACCCAGACGGTCCTCTGAGGACAAGTGGTCCGTTCGGGACTAAAAGTCACACACCATTCTTTTTTTTTTTTATCATCGTTTCTGCATCACTGGACTGGAAGCTCTCTCAAACTTTTGTGTAGCAGAAACAAATAAAAACATACAAGTGGGGACCCACAACAAAAATAACCCCCTTTGTGTTGCTTGAGGGAATATAATCTGATGGTCCCATCAGCCTCCAGGACCTTCAGGACCACAGTGTTTGGTAACGCTTTGCTGTCCACCCCCTCACTGGACTTACATTCAGCTGTTAGAATAAATAGAAATGAGATAAAGAAAACTAATAAAGATAAGAAGTTTGGCTCAGTCGGGCTAGATAAGGTGATCATGTAATGGAAAAGAAGGTTTCTTATTTAAAAAGATGAGGTTGTTCAATGTTTTGAAGCTAAATCAGATGTATGTTTCAGTACCACTGATGTATTATTACAATTTCAATATTTCTTCATCTTTATTAAATTTCTTTATGGAGCCAATATGACCATATTTGCATAGAGATTTGGATGGAAAATATCTTCAATCTAATCTTTTTAGAGTACCACAAACTAAAAACATATCCACATTTGTAGGATAAGTTTACTCCAAAATGCTCCTTTAAGAGAGCTGATATATTGAGGCCTACAGTCTAACACTTTCCTGTGAGAGGTCAGAGCTCTGCTGGGCCTCCGGGAGGCTTTTGGTCAGGAAGTGCATCGCATTCAGGGATGAAGTGAACCCTGAGAAACTGGGACGGCCGAGCACAGCTCCAGACCATAAATCAACCTCCAATCAAAACGGCTGATTCTGCATTTCCTCAAGAGACAGACATGGGTCAGTACCAAGGTCAGGATTATTTGTGAGTTGTGTTTGGGTTCGATTTGAATGCTTTATGTGTTAAAAATGCCTGTTTATGTTTACTAAGAATATATATCCAGATGAGTGTATTAATAAAAAGACTATAAAACGAAAAGTAAAAAAAAGTATCCTGAACAAAAGTGTTACTTAATCACCTAAACCACCAAACTAGTGCATTTGTTTTTATATGTAATACAATATGTGAGTGAAAACTGTTTCTATCATAAAAATGCATGATTTGCTTGTACATGCTGTTATGATGAAACTCTGAGGCTTATGGTTGGGGTTAGGTTTATGTGCACATTGCTCCAGTTCAGATCTCAGGAGGTAGCACACTCTCCTTGGCCCGTCCCTGACCCTGCGAGTGCCTCTGGTTTTGTGTAGACGGGGAAGCACACACACTGGGTGACATCTTCTCTTTATACAAGAGACAACAGCCGTTCCAATCTGCAGGGCTGTCAGCACATCCAGAGAGACAGGAGCACGTGCAGAAGGAGTGAGGAAGAGGAGAGGAAGTGGGAGAGAGGGATGGTAAAAATGAGGATAGAAGATAATAAGCCTGGGTCATCATTAGGAGTCAGAAACATGATGTTTAAACCCCAGATACTGGCCATGGAACTTATCAGTCAGTCTCACATTTGAGCAAATGTAAGGGATGCAAACAATGAAAGAAAAGTTTAATTTATGACTGTTTGTTGGGATGAAAGTGAGATTATGTATTTCGAAATGTAGCTAATTTTAAAAAAATCCAGTTGCCTTCCACAGTTCATGTTTCCTAACCAATAACTCTTTTTACTTGAGTTAAAGTAAATGTCAAACCAAAAGCTCTAACCATAACACAACAGTTGCCTTCTGTTTGACTGGTTTGGAGCATAACATCTGTCCAGATGTCAGCCGGTCTGCCTTCCACTAAAAGAGCTTCTCTTGCATCATCTTCAACATTCTGCTGAACTCAGCACACACACACTTTCAATCCAGTGACAGCAAAGGTGTGTGTGTGTGTGTGTGTGTGTGTGTGAGATGACCTCACCAGAGCGGCTGCTGGCAGTGCTGCAGTCACATGTGACTGCAGAGGCTCCACACGCACGCACACTAAAGCACAACATGTCAAAGCACAGAGCTCCACCTGCATCTTAACCCTATAATGCCAAATGTGTCATATCTGATCCGGTTTCTTTTGGATGTGAGACTTTCTGCATCATTCAGTGGTAAAAGCTTTGCTCAAACCCCTGTTGTACACATTCAGATATACCTGATAACAGCAAGTAGAAGACTACACCAACATATATTTTTTACTTATTGCACGCTGATTTGATCAAAATAATGTCTGTTTTTTTTCTTCATATGTTGTTTAGGGGCCAAAGAAAGACTTCAGACTAAAAAAATCCAATATTTTTCCTATTTCTCTTGGATCAGGCTTTAAAGGGTTAATCATAAATATATACAGTGACCCAACTCTTTCACACACACACACACAATACACAACATTCCTCAGCAAATACAAAACCAGCCCAGCCTCACAGAGACACGACCAGGCTGCAGAGATGTGGCTCTGGGCTGCTGCACGCAAGCTGAATCTGACACCGGCTGACTGGAAATCTACACAGGAAATCATGGAATTGAACATGTTTGGTTTAAAGAAAATCAGCATGCAGCAGCACTGATAAATGATCCGTCTGCCCTTAATGAGCCCTGTTTGGACTATCAGTCATGTTTAATCAATATGAACACATCAAGAATTTGTGATTAGCAGCAGAAATGTTTTTTAAATTCCATGATGTATTCACAGGTCCCATCAGGACCCACCTTAGAGTGACTATATTCATCCTTCATTCATTGTTTATATAATATTAATAGTGAATCAATGCAATCATATACTCATACAAAGCTAATTTCAATCCAATAGCCGATAGATTCGTACTTTTAGGCCATTCATACTTTAACAATGCATGTATTTGCCATTTTTCCATCTATATTCAAAGGCTTACAAGGTAAACAAATAAACTAGTAAACACATTAAGTCCACAGTGTTTTCAAAGTGACAGTGGCTTAAAATGGAGCAACCCTGTTTTGCATATTGTCAAAATAGTATTTGAAAAAAATACAACTCAGACAAAAAAGCATGTTACCTTGTTGACTGTGAAATAAAAAGGATGCACAGTAACTGTGAGGGTCATATCAACATAACAGTCTTATTGTCATACTTGACAAGTAGTTTTGCTTCAATAATGTTATCTTTAAACAAAATTCCCAGACATGGAGCAGCCGTGAGTCTGAGCAGTCCTCCTCCCGCTGTAAGCCCATTAGCTCAGCCCAGCTTACCCAGTAAAACTGGGGCTTGGCAGTGAACTAAACTCTGTGATGCCCCAGATGTTGTGATCAGATTGGCACAGGGTGGACATCACCGCGGGGAAAGAGGGGTTCAAGTGCACTGGGAATGCTGATTACACTGTAAACAGCTCTGTGTGGTGAACAAAACTTTAGAAAGTGTTTTGAAAAATCCAGTTTGAGTGCCAGAAATTACAGTGGCTGCCATTTTCCTTCTCTCTTTTTTTTCTATTTTTTTCTTCTTTTTTTCTTCTTTTTTTCTTCTTTTTTCTTTTTTTCCTCTAATTTTCCTTCTCTCTAAATCACTGGACGCTGCATCCAACAGCTGGATGAGTTAAGATTCAAAGCGGGGACCAAACTGTGGCACTGACTGGGTGCTAAGTGTGTGTGATGGTAATGATGTGGCTCTGTCTCCAGGCTGACACAGCCCAACAATGACAGGAAGGGACGGGAAGTCTGAAGGGATGAGTGGAACAAAGGGAAAAACAGAGGGAGAAGAAAAAACAAAAATGGGCTAAAAAATTAGGCGGAAAGCTAAAATGCTAAAAATAAACAGATAAATAAGCAGAAACCCAAAAAGATTAAGAAAAACACAGTCTTTTACTTCATTTAAGTTTAGTTCAATATAATTATTGCATTCATATTAAAAAGAAACAATCTGAAATCTCAGTAACAAAAGCAGATCGTGAATTAAAGCCTCATTTGTTGTGAACGCACAAACTAACAGGTGAGAATCTGAAAAAAATGCATGACTGGATCCTTTTTAGAGTATAGGTGTGCTGACCTGTCCCATTTCTGGTACATTCTTCATCAAAGAGAATAAAAGTCCATATCTTCTGTTTGTGGGGAGGGACTTATTTGGTTTGTGCATGGCACTATTTCTCCCACTCAAACTGGGGCAACAGGCGGTTATATATGCTTCCATTACAGAGATTAAACGATTCTGCTCAAAAATACACCACAGGTAACACAGGCCTGCTCACAGGACAAAAAACCTACACGCTCTCTGAGCAGAATCCAGATCCTCCTGCAGAGGAGTGACCCTGTTCCCATTCAAGTTTGAGCAAATCCCCCTTCTGGGCGCTGGTAATCCATGTCTGTATCTACGGGGCCTTTGTGTGTGCTCCACTTAATTCTTCAGCCTAGATGACTCCCTTACTCTCCATCCATCACTCCCCTCTTTCCCAAATCTGGAGCTACCTACTGCCTTTATTTCCTCGGTTTTGACTATCAGCTTGACTCTTTCCTCCTCTGTCTCACACTGTGGATGTCGGACTCAGAAAAATGAGGCTGGCATCCGTCTGGGTGATGATGGGGTGGATCTCTTTGGGTGGAGTTTGATCTCCAGCTTCCTCCCACAATCCAGAGAATCCATGTTAGGTTAATCTGTGATTTAAAACTGTAGTAGGAACGACTGGTATAGAAAGTGAATAAATGAATGAATGACATCAGCCTGCCTTCAGACTAATAGTCTGAGTACAACAGATCACAGATCATCATAATCCTTTGTTTCAAAAATAAGAAGAGCTTTGAAATGACTCAGCTAAGGTTGGATATGTTTATAGTCAGGCCGTGTCAGTTTATTTGTCATTAAATAAACTATTTGTCATTATTATTTTTTGTCATTAAAGGCCTTAATTCAGCTGTATGAAATCATTTTAGAGAGTAACACTCAGTCCAGTGCCAGTCTTTCTTTTAATACCATTTCCTTCCACTAGATGGGATGTGAGTAACTATAGTGTTTTGTTTGTCCTGGAGCCAACAAAAGGTCCAGAGAAAAGCCGGAGAAGGCATTGGCAGAGCGGACAAAAGCGCTCAAAGCCGGTCAAGGTCAGTGACAGTCAGAAAAAACAGGAATCAATACACAGCGGTCAGTACACGAAGGAAACGCTATCCTCCACAATTTTACAGAAATATATCCTGATTATCACATGGAGGAGCAAACAGAGGAGGAGAATAAAATCACACAACATTAATGATAATTGAGAGATGTTTTCTACACAGCCTGTGAACTAAATGCAACAATAACTAGATAGAACATTTGACTTATGGAGTAAAAAGGCTACAAAGTTAAATCCAGAGCTGTGGATATGAACAAAAATCCAACTTTGAATTCTTTGAGTGTAGAAAATTCGAGTGAAAGTGGATGCTAGATGTGGTCCCATAACTTATAGCAAAGCCCAGTGATCCCAGAATATCTGGTCAGTAGATTCTGTGAATGCCCATCAGCCACCTCACTCTGATTCCCTCATGTAAAGTGAAGTGGCACACAGGGCCCAGCATCACATTAGGAAACCATCACGGCTCCTCCTCACGTCTCCGCACAAAGGCTGGAGGCCACTTACCGCTTTTAGTGTCCTTTCCATCCAATAAGGGCCTGTAGTCGCCCTTGGAGACCGTCTCTCCCACCTTGTCATCATAGCTCTCCTTCTCTAACGAGGCCACAAAGTCCCTCTTCAGCAGGGCCTCAGCCGGGGCCCCACCTCCGCCCCCCCCCAGAGCATCTCGAAGGGTCAAGTCCATTGTTCTAAAGCTGGAGACAAAAGGGACATGGAAGCTCAATGTTATTCTTTTTGTTTATCACTATCAAATGATTTATTCCTTTTAAACACAACCTGTTAAAATGGACACTACAAATATTATTTCACTTCAGGTATGTCTCTTTACGTGTATTGGATGCCGGAGATCTTATAAAAGTTATACTCATGCAACACTGCCTTTGGAATACCAAACATTTTAGTAACCATTTACAGAATGGTTATTCACATCCATTTCTTGGAGTGTCGGACATTTTTTAACCATTTTTTTAGACTGATGTTGAAACGTTTAGTTTGGCAAAAACATTTAACCTCCTCAGAAATGGGTTTACATTGCTCTGAAATACTAACAAAAATATGTCATGTAAAGAGACCATTTACAAAAAGAAACTCGATAAAGGGCTAAAATCCACCCATGTCTTGGTTTTAAGAGACAGATTTCATGAAGGAGACGGTATGAGGTTCCAGACCAGAGGATCCTAATCCGGATCCTAAACAGAACTCTGAGAGGAACTGAGAGAACCCAAAACTAGAAGCAAGGCATGGGAAACAAACTTAAAGCATTGAAATAGTAAAAACCATAAAGTCAAGGAAGGACACAAGTTCATGATGATAAAAGAACCAAAACTACTGGAAAGAAACCAAGAACAATCCACAGAAACATAATTACTAGCACTTCATTGCAAGCCTGAAAAACCGGTCAAGATTCAATTAAAAGAATTGTTCAGATATTTTAGATATATAGATCTACAATGCAAGAATTCTAGTTTTGAACTGAATCTAAATGACCAAAAAAGAAGTGACTTTTCTCCACACATTTAGAATATTCTGACATTTACCGGCTGGTAGATGATATCAACAACTTCTGACTCCAATACAAACTGCTGTTTTTTCTAAGGGATTCATTGGGAATAAATTCAGTTTCAGGGTCACGGAAACAGATTTTAGAGCCTTTTAGAACAGTGTGGTCCAACATTTCGAAAGGGAAATTGTGACTATAGTTCAGCCGAGGATATAAAGCACATTTCAGCATGACTGCGAGCGTCTGTAGAGTTTGTTATTCAGAACACCTGCTACAAGACACAAACATGAAACATGTCCTGGTCCCACCACTTTGGGCAGCCTGACCCTCCAGCAAACTCTTCTTTCTGTCCTCTGCCTCTGTTTATCCCTCCGTCCACACTCCCGGCAAACAGGCCGTCATTGTCTGGCCAATGCCACACACACACACACGGGTCCTGGCCGGGGGCCAGCGTGAGCACATACAGTAGTGGTGTCAGCAGGCCTCCAGCAGAACTGAGGGCCTTTGTTTGAGGGGAACAGCTCCGTACAGTGGACACCTCAGAAGACTCTGCCTCCTTTACCATCTCGTTTTCAGCTTCTGTTAAATAGAAATACTCTGGACAATCGCTCTCAGAGGCAAGGTCACATGAAATTTTGTTTATAGGAGACATATTATACCCTATTTCAACACGTTAAGCTAGTTCCCTGGTGTCCTAATGTAATGTCTGTGACAAGCTTTGGTCAGAATCCCATAAGGATGAAGCCCAATAGCAGTTCAGTCCCCCTGCCTAACCCTAACCCTAACCCTAACCCTAACCCAAAACAGCCCCGTTCAGAGCGCTCGCTTTGGAGTGCCTGTCTCTTTAAATGCAAATGAGACACAGGCAATCCACCCACTTCTTCAGGGAGGGGTGCCCACGTCGGCACGCTAACGCTACCATGCTAACGCTACCACACTAACGCTACCACGCTAACGCTACCATGCTAACGCTACCACGCTAACGCTCAACTACCAGGACGTCTCCACAGATAGGGGAGTAAGCTGAGGGGGGGGGGCAACATGCAGGTGAAAGGCTGGAATATTATAATGAGCTAGATAATATATAATAATATTAATATAATAATAATGATAATATTATAATGAGCGGCACGGTGGTGTGGTGGTTAGCACTGTCACCTCCCAGCAAGAGGGTTCTGGGTTCGAATCCCGGGGGAACCAGGACCTTTCTGGGTGGAGTTTGCATGTTCTCCCTGTGTCTGTGGGTTCTCTCCGGGTTCTCCGGCTTCCTCCCACAGTCCAAAAAAAAAACCTGCATGTTAGGCTGATTGGAGATTGGGGAAATTGCCCTTAGGAGTGAATGTGAGCGTGAGTGGTTGTTTGTCCTTGTGTGTCTCTGTGTGTCCCTGTGATGGACTGGGGACTGTCCAGGGTGTACCCTGCCTCTCGCCCGTTGACCACTGGGATAGGCTCCAGTTCCCCCCGCGACACCATCAGGGAATAAGCGGTATTGATAATGGATGGATGGATGGATGGATATTATAATGAGCTAGAGCTAATGACGTCAGAAACTACCCACTCCTGAAACCTCCTGATTTATCTCCTGGATTCAGACTGAGGCGGCCCACAAAAACATGACTGAGTCTTTTTTTTTTCACACTTTTCCTGCTGATAGGCCCTCCACAGTCCCAAATGTACACAATCACATGATTAAAAACTTGGTTTTGCATAATGTGAGATGCTTGTTCTTTTTAATGGAAATGAGAAATTACCCTGAATGCCTTAGTGGTTCATTAAAACCAAGGGTTGGACTTTGGAACATAGTCTGAAATCAGAGTAAAGCAGCCCAAACTGAGACTTTTCCATAACCTATGAGCCCCACTAAAGCTCCAATAATCAATATAAGTTTCCTACCAATACGCGTAAAATTGTTCCTTGAAAAGTGAGAGGATTTGCTCTCAGAAAAAAAGAAAAGAATCACCATCTAACTCTGCATTTCCGCTAAGCTAAGAGCAGCTTTCTGATCTATTTTGGGAGACGGTTTTAATTTGTGCTCAGGCCTCTGCAGCAGGCAGCTATTTTCAGCTGCTGAACGCTCACCTGGATAATAATCCCAAAGTTTGTTTTTGGAAAATATTTTTAAAAAAAACTCTGGCCAATGTCAGTTTTCCAGTTTGGATTTGGATTTTTGAAAGCCAAAAGTCTCTCTATGCAGTTACCCAATCTTCTTTGTAATATTTGGTTTTATTTTAATTTATGCTAATCAGAAGCACAGACAGTGAGTTCTGAGGAAGGAACAACTCGTTCTTGTTTATTTATTGATTGATTGATTGATTGATTGATTGATTGATTGATTGAATACTTTATTGATCTCCAAGGAGAAATTGACTTAAACTTTAGAGCAGATTTTGACTTCTTTGACGTATCTTTTTTTAATAGACCTTCCTCTGGTGGAGCTCATTAACTGCTACTTGGTAAAAACCTGAAACCATGATGGTGATTACAATGATGCTTATGGGTCGCTGGATAAACAGCTGTTGCTTTGCAAAGGATTAAAAACTATCTTTGTACCCACAATCCCCTGCAGAAGCATCCACCACCTCTCCCTGCCTAAATCCATCTGCTACGTAATGGCCGTCCGCTCTCAGGCCAAACACCAGGACACGTTGCAGGGCCACCGGACACAAACACCAGAGCTGGAGGGGTTTGTGTGGAGTTTGTGTTTTTTTAAACTGCATCATCTCATTATTGTCACTTTTTGAGCAAACCAGCCGTACCAGTGCTAGTTATTGTTGTTTAACCAAACCTTTTTTCTTAACCCTATAATGCCAAATGTGTCATATCTGTTCCGGTTTCTGAAGTCTTTTGGATCTGAGACTTTTTGCATCATTCAGTGGTAAAAGCTTTGCTCAAACCCCTGTTGTACACATTCAGATATTCCTGATAACAGCCAGTAGAAGACTACACCAACATGTATTTTTGACTTATTGCACGCTAATTTGATCAAAATAATTTCTGCCAAAGAAAGACTTCAGAATAAAAAAATCCAATATTCTTCCTATTTTTCTCTGATCAGGCTTTAAAGGATGAAAAATATTACATAGTGTGGGTGACAGCTGAAACACAGCAGGAAGGAAAGCCCTTTAAAAACTGATAAATATCAAACAACCAGGAAAACAACCATGGCTCCATTTTCTCAACTTCTTCTGAAACTGAGAAAAAAATGTGAAAGGTTTAATCGAGTTTTTCACTGCAGTAACCAGCTGAGTTACTGGAGTCAAGCCTGCTTTGCTTTTTTAAAATGGACCGTATGAAGAATATGAGGTAGTAATTATATAAAATAAAAGTAGTCATCGTCAGCTGCATTTGACACAGAACATCCAAACAACTACAAGCCATTTTCACCCCCCCGCCTCTTCTGGAGGTAAAGATATCCTGCTGCTGACTACTTTAACTTATATAATCTGTGCATGTAATCGTTTGGATGATCTCCATTCCCTCCTGCTATAGAGGAAGTCAGCCTCAAATCTATCAGCAGAAATAAAGGCTGAAATGTATCTGTGTGCGGCTGTTTAGATAAGATAAGATAAGATAAGATAAGATAAGATAAGATAAGATAAGATAAGATAAGATAAGATAAGATAAGATAAGATAAGATAAGATACACTTTATTGATCTCACAGTGGAGAAATTCACATGTCTCATGCATCAATATCCAGCAAATGCATCTAGATACAAGCTAAAAACAAAGTGTAAATCTTAAAGAATTAACAGGTGCTACATTTCTGCATCTCCTAAATATAAAACAATGTCTTTGACACTGGATTTTGAGTGGAATGAAAGCATATTATGTGATATTGCTCTTTAAAAAATGTTTTTTTTTATCAGCAGATATGACAGCCAGGTTCCAGCTGGAGTATTTTGGTGATAAAATATCAAAACGTGACCTCTGTCTGTTCTCCACTGACTTTTGAGTAAAAGATGAGTCATTATATCCCAGCATGCTAAGTTAACAAACATAAATACAATGAATCCCCACACAGTTCAAGTGAATGTGGGGCAGAGTTTAGCATTCACAGAACAAGAGTCATTTATCATACCATGACAAAGCCATAAAAACTGCTTCTCAGTCGTTTACAGGATACATTCCCAGCTCAGCTCTGGGCCAGTCCCACTCACTGATGACTCACAGAGCAATTTCAGGGTCTATACGGG